ACCAAGCTTCCTCAGCCTTCAAGGCACAAGGCAAATGAAAAGGCGCCGGACGACGGCATCCACTTTTGCATTGATTTGCACTGGCTCGCACAGGCATGGGGACCGCTGGGGATTTGATGAGCATCGACGCGCTTTGCTCGGCACACAGGACGACTGCATCACGCACGTCACAGCCTTCACCGGTTTTCAGGGCTCAAGCTCCTGCATTTGCACATCTGAGGATTGCAGCTTAGAACCCCATGCAGACAGCCCCAGCCGGCGGAGCCGCCTTCAGATTGACGATGGCGGTCGCCTTGCACATGGGACAGCCAGCTTCTGCGCGTTTGGGCGCTGGCGAGCCTGATTGTCGGGCCAGGACCGCTGTCTGTTTCATGAGGACTCAGCTCCTCCGCAACCGAGACGATGGTTGAAGGCAGGGATCCTAGCAAGTCGGACCAGGGCAGACGAATCGTGACCCATGGAGTAGGGTGAGGTGACCACAGCTGTTAGCTTGTAGCCGGCGCGTATTTCAGGTGCAATCGACGTGCTCTCGCGGCCCATAGTCTATGCAATGCTCAATCGGCGGCTCTCGCGACTCCATGAACGACAACCTTGTCCGTTAGTTAGAGCTGGACCATGGCATTTGCTGTTTTGGTTCAAGCGTTGGGTGCGCGGGTCGGGTTTGGCACCCACGATCTTTTCGCGAGGCTGCCAGCCGGCAGAGATCGCCTAATAGCACCACTTCAGCTTAGTATGGTGGGAAATGAACCGCAACGTCCCGCATGCTATACCTTCGTCCCTGAGCATGGAAAGCGATGTGAAACTGAAGCGGTGAGAGCTTTACCGAATGTGTGAGGACAATGACATTATTTGCTCAATGGGGGCGTAAGACGCAGTATAGCCGGTAATCTTGATGAATAGGGAGCTCAATCCAGGGCGGTTCCTCGCTTCGGCACGTGTCTGCGTTGGATGCCGTCGAGCTCTTGCAGCTTGGGTCGCGTCGGCTGATGAGCGCGTCTAGGGTGTAGAGAAGATCAAGCGAGATGACTCGACTTGACTTGCAGCTTGCAGATGTGGCCCCTCTCCGCGGCGCTGGTGTTTGTTGACAGGCGACGGCCTACACGCTTGATAGTTCAATAGGCGTAGGGCTAGACACTCGATTTCGTCCGACAAAGACCTGTGCGTTGAGACATGACCAATCCAGGCTCTGTAACGTACGACAGCGCCAGTGATCACCGTTGGCCCGCCCGGAAAGGTTCAAAGCGCGATGGGATTAGTGCGGGATGTTGAGAAATGAGAGGCACGTGCTGGCCAGCCGACTTAGCATCGTCGCAACCATGCGTTTGTTGTCCAAGCAGCAAGGTCCAGGGAGGCTGCATCGCGTGGAGCATCGCGGGTGGGTCACAGTGAGACATTCATGGATGGAGGTCGAGAGCACTTTGCCGCGACCCGCTGATGGCGCGATTCAGGCGATTGCTCGGGCTGGACTGGTTCTCCCCTTCCTGAGGTTGTGGAAACACCGAAGTCAGCCCGCCGGTACTTCCCTTGGGGACAGATCTACGGCGAATGGCTTACCCTTTCGGAACAGATGGAGATGCCGCGCTCAGATCAGGATCATCGGCATGATAGAGCTGGTGCTGGTGTCGCGCTCGCCGAAATGACGTACCCAGACAACAGCCTCTTTGGGGAGACTCGACTGTCGGCGTCCCCGCAAACAGGTCGCCGGGAAGAAGAGGCAGGAATCACACGGCAGGATAATTCGAGTAGGATCACCTCACGCTGCAGATAATGTCCGTCACAACGGGCATGGCTTGATCGAAGGATGCAATCACAGTCGGGCACGTGCGGGCCCCACTCCTGTCGCGAAAGCTATCTGATTCGGTTGGGTAGCTGATCCTTCGTCGACTACACCCGCTCTCTGTCGCTTACATGGCATGCATCGGTCAATATTGCGATATGCAACAGACGCATCTGGGCAGTATCCTCTACCTCCTTCACCTCTACCTACACTACCTCATCGTGCGCCAAACCATCACAGCCTCACCGCCGTGGCAGGGCTGTACCTCTGTCTTCCACATCTTGCGCGGGGCAGGTGCGACAGATGCAGGCCCCAAAGAGGCTAGCGCTGTTCCTTCCCGTGCCTAAAAGTAGCTCCACCCACCTCTCTAGCCTCCCGGCTAATCCTCCATGAGGCTGAACAGACAGAGTCTGCCTCGCCAAAACTGTCATCACCAGCAGCACATCCTCGCAACTTCTTCATCACTCGTCGCAATGACGGCACCGTCTTCGCTAGCAATCAACTTTTGATTCCCGATCGCGTTATGCATCGGCCGGAAGAAGGTTTGCAGGCAGCCATGTGCTATCGCAGCCTAGTCTGCTCCCACACGTGCCTGGCTCCGCCATGCCCAGAATACTGAGCATCCACATGCCCTCCAAAGTTTGCTGCCTTCTCTTCGACGTGCCTCTCATGTCGCGACACCGGCACCTACGGGATTGTACATCGCGTATCCTCGCTTTCTCCCCATTGGACGAATGAAGAAGCCTTCAGCAAGTCCCCCACCCCACCCAACCTGTAAGCGCCGCCCAGCAAGCCACCACTCAACCACTGTCTCCCATCTTCCCACCGTGTTTCTTGCCCGGGAGAAAGAGCCTCAGGCAAACCACATGACTCAGCCCTATGAGAAGGTTCGAAATAGAAGGATTGGCTGTGGCGATGCTTTGCGTGCTTGTCAATTTACACATTTCGTTCCTCGCAGCCTCAGCTCACTAACCCTTTTTGGATTCGCGAGCTGTCGAAGCACTCTCTACTACTACCACTTGCTACATTGCCGCCTTACTACTGCAGCTTACCTCTTTTCGATACATGAACAGCTACTTGCAAGCGACTTTTGGGAAATCGCTCGCTGTGACAGCCACTCTGGCTAGTTGTTAGTACTGGAACCAACACAACCACATCCTCGATAACCAATCCCACGGTTAAGAGCCGGCGCTTAGAAGTACCTTCGGCCGAACTGCCGGCCAACAAGACATACTGAAACTCTCAAATGCACTAACAGCGGTCGCAGATGTGGTCGTTGAAATGCGCAGGTCAACGTAATCCCAATACGACCGTGTAAGAGCGAGTACCGCGGGGCAAGACATGATAGTATTGACTGATCATTCGGTTCATCGGCTGCATAGACGGCTATACAGAGAACAAGGCCTTCCAGACATCACATCCTCCGAGATGGAGTCGCTTATGTTTCTGGAGGGCGTTGCGAACCCGTGTTACAGAGTGAGACAACATACCTCACTGCGTAATTGCTATCAAAGGTCGCAGTAACGGCCATCACATGGTGTGAGTATTGAACGACAAGCCCGCTACTGCATCGCAAGCAATACACTTATGCAGCAACGCGGCGATGCAAAGACGTTTCAGAACCAACACCGTACTACCAGTTAGTATGGCCGTCGGTTAGAAGAAGACCTGCGAGACCCATCACCCAACCCCGCGCATGCTACGGCTCGAGACTCTGCGGCGCAGTCATATAGGTGCGGCGAGGTGCGTCAAGACTTCTGATCTAACAGATTGTAGCTGCGGCGTAGCTATCTAGCCTCAGCCCTCAGGTCCTATCCCGTCATCGCATGTCAGGCACAGGCACACGGGCGTAACTGCGCCTCTACGGGAACGTCCGCGACAGTCAGACGCTGCGTTCCGAACCTTCTCACGCCGTGCCTCATGCGAACTGGCCGCCGCTGCCGCTCTTTGTGTCTCATTCAGTGTGTGCCGCAGTGGGACCGACGGTTCCTTCCACACAATGCTGGGCGGGAGGGCGAGCTCTACTGTGCCGCAAGGCCGCAGAGATGCGTGACTGGAAGACATCGATCGCGGTCACCCGGACTCATCAGCGACCTCTCTCATGACACATTTCACCGGGCGAAGTGAGAACGGACGGCCCTACTCCGGTATCGAGTAGATGAGTCTTTCTACTTGCCACGTTGCTTTGGACTTGACGTAAGAGTTGTGGGCTGTTGGGGTGTGGTGGGTGAGTTGGAAGATTTTTTGATTCACGCGCTCAACTCTTATTCTCTACGGATCGACAAAACTGACGTAGTGGATATATATCCAATTCTTTGGATCGTGGCGATCTCATTGGAATGATCCAGGTGTGTGCGACTGCCCTGCCGGCTCTCGGAAGTAGGCTCGACCCGGAGCATTCAGTGCTGAAGCTGGGTATATGGAATAATCGAGCTTCAAGCATCTGTCGCAGTGCATATCCAGTGTATCGCACGTTGCTTTTGGATAGGCTTTGCTAGACGTTTTCTAATCACTTTGTTGAACTCAGTCACATCTCTAGGTAAGGTATCGCTGGCATGTGTCGTGTCGTTGAATCTTCACACACACAAACAGTGCTGCGCTACATAAATTCGGAATGATTAGTTCGTCCTCCTTGCCTCGCACGATACACTCTTCTGCACTGTATCAAATCTACTTTTCTTACGCTAAGCATTCGCTGCATTTGATCTCACTATACTCACCACTCCGCGACATGCCCTTAACAGAAGCCATGCCACTTACAAAGTCAATCTTCGCGTTGGTAAGTAGCCAAAGAACCCTATAGTAAGTTGATACTTGCTAATAGCTTTTAGCTCTTCTTTGCGCTATGCCTCACGATACAGGCCAGCCCCGTCCCCGCTACGCTTTCCACTCGATACAAATCCTCAATTTCAATGCTTCTTCCACGCGAAGGCGACAGTAAGGGCAAAGGTTTCACAAGCTCCGAGCAAGCGGTCTTGTATACGGTCATCTTTCTCAGCCTGACGATACTGTGCCTATGGCTTCTCGTAGGCACCATAGTTGCGTTTCTGCGGAGGAAGAACGATAAGACGTTTTGGGGCAACTTCAAGGACGGGATGCAGTTCAAGAAGGATGTGGGTTATTTGTGAGGGAGTATCGCGAATGAGTTGCTACTTGGCGGGATGGAGAGGGGTAGGATTGCATGTATTGTAACATAACGACAAGTGGTCTTATGCTCTTGTTCCTACGATGAGTCCATCTCCTCGTTCACCTCCTCATCCATCTCCTCGTTCATTTCCTCGTCCACCCGCTCGTTCACCCACTCGTTCACCCGTTCATGCACCCACTCGCTCACTTCTTCGTCCACCTCGTACACCTCTTCTTCCACCTCTTCGTCCATCTCCTCGTCCGACTCCTCGTCCAACTCTTCGTCCATCTCCTCATCGTCGTGAATGATAGGCTTGCTGCGTCGCAATGAACAAATCTCTCGACGGCAAACAGGGCACTTATTTGCGTACGCATGAATGCCGTTGATCAACATCGTCAAGCATTCATAGTGATACATATGCCCCCCGCTGCAATGCGCACGCATAGGCATTTGCAGACAGTACCTTTCGACTAAAGCGAGCGCATCCCCACATATCGCGCAAGTAGAGTCTGGCCCAATCTCATCTACTGTGCGTACCGGTGAAGAGCAGATGCGCGCAGTTCGCAGCGGACTATCCGGTACCCTATCCACGTCTTCCATGGACGAAGGCGCATCCTCCTCCTCCTCGAGCGGCGGGATATTCAGGTCACCATAGGAGAAACGGTCCCCATCCTGGTCTTCCCAACCGTGTGGAAGGAAATTAGCAACTGGCGTCGGATTCGCAGCGAAGAAACCTTGCCATCGGAACGGACTGCGCATCACTTCGGTCACTGCGACTTCAATCTCGAAGTAGCGGAACTGGTCATGAACGTTAAGCCCGAAGGCATCCTTCACGCGATGCGCCATCCAGTGGTGTAGACGCCAGGCTAACTCCTGCCGTACAGGAGTTGTCTTCGCGATGGCAAATGCTTGGTGCAACAGTGACCGTGCCAACACTGCTACATCGAGGCGCGCCAAATCGCGCCTCAGAGCCAGTGGAACCCGGCTGAGGGGCTCTGACACGATAGAACGGGCGTACATGATTGCATCCATGGAAAATTCGTGGGCAGTTTCCTGCGTAACCGTGAAGTCACACTTTTGGAGGAAAGCAGCGGCACGCACTGAGACTTCCGAGAGCGCAGCCAGCGTGTTCTTGATCTTTTCCGGGTTTACAGTATCAATTTGTTTGCGTATCGCTTCGATGAAATGTGTTTCTCGATCTCGGTCTATGGCTATTTTATGCTCTTTTTCCATGGTCTGCGCCGCGCATCGTGGCTGCAGTTTTATGATGTATTTCAATAGCTCTTTGAAGCCTCCGTGTCGAATGAGAGTTCTCAGCGTAAACCCTGCCTGCTCGCCAACGTGATAACAATAGCTCTTAGAGGTTGTCACTAGCGTTAGACGGTTGCGTTCTGGTAGGTTGCGGATGAGTTCGGTGGCGACGTCATGATAGGAGGGGAATCTCTCAAGAGTGTTGGTATCGGGATGTTGCGTGTGGAGCCAGCTACGGAGGTCGTGCCATTCTTCGGGTATGCCAGTGGCGTCGAGGGGATCTACAAAGGCATCATCAGTGCGGCATTGTAAGGCGTAATCAAGGAACATTTGGTAGACTTGCAGGACTTTGTAACCTTCTTCTGGGGTCCTTGTGTGAGATTTTAGGATGTTGACGAGGATAGGTAAAGGGGATGGAGGCGTGCTTGTCGCCATGGTCGTGGATCTGTCTTTTGGTGTCGCCTGCGTCGGAGCGAATGACATGATCTCATGAGGTATGGAGCATATGTAGTCATTGAAATGACATTGTAGATCGGGTTTTCAAGCACATTGTGTGAGAAGTAGGTACGCTCACAATGCTATGGGATTCAACTACCATGGTTGTTTTTGTTGTACTGAGCCACGAAGTTGATGGGAATAAGTACATCTGAATCGACAAAAAACTAATCTACTTCGCAGCAAAAGATGCCTTCCATGTCTTCTGCAACCCCAATGACCTGAATGACTTGATACTTTGACGAATGAGCGGACTCGCAAGTTAATCATGTCCACTGTCGCACCGCACCGTCCCTTCTTCAGTCCCTCATCACCACACCTCTGTGTCTATCCAGCAGAAAGCGCTCCACCACTGCCTGCTCTTCCAAATCCAACGCCTGTACACCATTGAGCTCATCATCTTCCTTCAGCTGCCTAGGCCTATGATCACATATCGGTCGCCGGCAATTAGGACACAAGTTCGAGAAGTCGGCGAGGCCGTTTATCAGGGTACCAAGACAGCTGTAATGAAACGCGTGGCCGCAATCAGTCTTGACGGGGATTTCGTCCTGGGCGCGCTCGTGTACGTTGAGGGTGTCGCGGCAAATCGAACAGTCTCCTTCGGGGAGATCAGAGGCATCGGTGATGGCAGGTGCGTAGTCTTGCGGCTTGAGCGGAGGACCCACAGGATCAAAGCAGACATCTGGAAGATCATCTGGGTCAACCTCGTCCTCACTGTCGAGTTCATACTCGGGGAATTCCATGTCAGTGGCCGTGGGGTCGAGTAAGGTGGGGTCGAGTAAGCGTCCGAACCCGCACGAAGATAGTGCCAGCTGCACGTTATGGGCGAATTCTACGTCTTGCGCACTGGCGGCCTGTGCGGTATCCACGAGCATCTGGAACATGTCCAGAGAATATCCAGTGTACGCTCCTCGGCTACACAGGGATGCGACATCCGATATCAACAGCATCAGTGTGCCGCGGACATCGCAAGCTGCCAGTTAACGCCGTATGGCTAAGCTTTTCGCCGAAAAGGCGTAGCCTACTACGAATTGATACTCCTCTACTATTCGATCAATGTAGGAATCATCCTTTGGCGAATGATTGTGATAGTCAATCGCACGTTGGATTAATTTCGCAAAGACTTCAAGTATCATGTCGATCGCATCGCTGTCATGAAGAACTGGGATTAGAGCTCTAGTCAAGTCGGGGATCTTGTCGGCGCCCGAGCACTGACGTGCATTGAGTTGGCGTTGATAGCCGTCGTGGAGATCTTCGTAGCGCGGCTGGGAATTGAAGATGTTCATGATGCATTCACGACTTTGTCAACAAAATACCTTGTAGAGACCAGCAGGCTGTGTGAGAGGATAAGGATCGCAAATCCCAGAATCGAGTCCATATCGACAACCGCGCATGGACTGAGTGGTTACGACTATGGACCGGACAACTTTTAGTGACCTTGAGACAAGTACATCGTCTTCACTACTTCCCAAAGCCTCTGCGCTGATTCCATACTTTGGTCCAAACTCATCGATGGTACTGTTTGGAGGTGATGGGGTCCGAAGGGTGTGCGAAGTCAGGAAGATAACATCGCCCACGCAGCGACAGATGAAAGCACAGATGCATTTCGAACAAAACAGTGGGAGTAATTCGTGCTGGCTCTCGCCAAAAAGTAAAAATTTCCGCAAGCTACGGCAGTCGCTGAACTTGGGGAGTTCAAGGGACTCTGAAACTCCCCGGAATTAGCTCCTGATGTTAGATTGCCAGGGGTGCGTAGGATATGTAGATCCCCACGTGTACAGCGCGATAAGGTGACACGCTCAATGATTTCCAAAATACCTCTGCGCGAGCGGTCTGTAATACGTGCATCAGAGTCAGCTCTCTTAGCTTAACCTGCCGCCCGGCCTCTTGCCCTTGTCATGACCAATGTGAGAGTCGTGATTCGTACCTCGGGAGGTGACGAGATCGCGATTGGTGCTGCCAGGCATGTATCGAGCTCAACATTTCTTTTGCGCAGTGGCTTCGTCCCATATCACTGCGCCATCACGAGCGAAAACGCCACGTTGTCGCGTTTTGGGGTTAAGGTTGGCGCTAGCGTCGATGATCGTCGTCGGCTACGGGGCTCCGCGGTAGCGCAGTGACGTCGCCGGTGAAGACCTTTACCCTTCTGCCACCAGGCAAGCGAAACGGCAGACCACCTAACGCCATCGAGCGAGAACGCGGGATTTCAACTTTCGCATCATTTCCTGGCCAAAATTCGATCGCATCGCGAGACGCAGAGCCGCCGATCTCAATCAGCCGGATCGCCGCTGCGAATCTAACCGAACCGTATCTCCATGTATCGAGCACTAGCAGACTGCGGATTTTCCGATCCGATCCTGGTAGGCATCACGGCACATCATGGCATATTGGCGACTGTGCCAAGGTGATATTACCTGCAGCATCCTGACGTCGCTCATATGGCCAGCACACTCTGGAATCTGCAAGTTCACAGCGAACGCCCTGTACAGATGGCATGGTGCTAGCTAAGATCCTGTTCTGGTCCCGATGGGGCCGTATAGGCATCCCACGAGCCCCTGTGTACTTCCAGCGTTCGGCGAGGGTGAGCACAAATTCTCCGCCGAATAAGAGAGCCGGCGCTATTCTACCTGCCGATTCTGCAAGCTACTGCATAGTGCACCAAGATATGATGTATCTATTACCGTCACCTAATCCCTGCTCCATATACGGGAGATGTGTAGGCCATAGGAGATCGCTTCAAGAACTTTATCACATTCGTTCTCGGATTCACTGCAATGGTTCAGATATTGCGACTGACGCGTTTCGACCGCTCCACCCGTCCACATTTCTTCGATGACAGGAGCATTGTGGCTTGGTCGAACCGAGTGAGTGTTAGCTGCTGAGAGCAAATGAGAACGACTCCTTTATCATCGCGATCACTTCCTTAATTCTGGGGAATTGGCCTTCGATCCGAGTGAGTTATTGGCGCACCGTGCGGATACAAGTGGGTCACTCGAGCTGTGCCGAATGCCAAAATGCCATGAATCTGACTCGCTTTCAAAGGCTTGGCTGGGGGGCACCACGACTCAGATAAGTAATGGGTAATCCGGAAACATCTGATTGGGTTGCGGCGTTATACATCATCCATGTGTGGATCTGTGGCGGCATGGCGTTTTGACTAAGTCTTCCCCAGTTCTAGTTGGCGATCATGATGACAACCGTACGAAAATGGAAGCGCAACACTCTTCTTCGGCGACTGTTGATGGAGATCATACTCAACGTGGACGGTGCCAACAGATACCATCCATGCAGGCTTTACCGGAGCGGTGGAGAGGCTTAGAGGCAGCTGCGCGGAGCAGAAGTGTATAAATCCTCTTCACCGTGTGTTCCACATCAGCTCTTCAGCCAGAGCCATCACTTGCTCCTTCTCCCCTTCTCTCCTCATACCGACAATCCTGTGTTACCAACATCATGAGGTTCACTCAATCAGTCACTCTGGCGTTGCCAGCCCTCGCTGCGGCCTACCCCGGCATGATGGGCGCGAACTCCCGCCCGGAGATGGAGGAGTTCCTCCGTGGGGAGATCAAGCGTGAACAACTTGCGAACCGCGCCGCTGAACCCCAGCTGCTTAACCCAGTCGGAAACCTGTTGGGCTCGCTTGGCGGCGTTGTTGATGGGCTTCTGTCCTCAGTCGGCCAGGCCATCGTCAAGAAAAGCAACCTGCGTCCTGAGCCTGGCTACGAGTTCAAGGCACCTGGTCCCAACGACTCTCGTGGCCCATGCCCAGGTCTGAACTTGCTCGCCAATCATGGTTATCTCCCCCGTGACGGCTACGTCACCTACGGACAGGTTTTGGAGGCCACTGGGCGTGGATTCAACATGGGTGTAGAACTTGCCACAGTTCTAGCCACGTTCGCTGTCTTGGGCAGTGGAGATTTGGATGGCTTGTCCTTCTATCTCGGCTCGGGAAAGAACGGAATCGGTGGTCTCAACAGGCACTCTGTTGTCGAAGCTGATGTTTCACCCAACCGTGAAGGTATGTTTGCTGACTTCTCAAGGCGGAACCTGAACACTAACATTGAGACAGATTACTACATGGGATGCGGTGACAATCATCATCTCTCTTCCCGTCTGGTGAAGCAGATGGTCGGGTATGCTGCCCAAGACCCCAAGAAGGAGTTCTCCATGGATGTCATGGCCAAGCACTACGCTAAGTCGGCCGGCTTCTCCAAGGACAACAACCCCTTCCTCTACTACTTCCCCTTCCCCCAGATCGTCTCGGTCGCCGCCTTCTCCTTCTACCCCCAGTTCTTCTCCAACGGTACCTACGGTGCTGGTGGTGTGCCCAACTACAAGAGCATCATGAGCATCATCGGTGCCGAGTATGATGAGAAGACCCAGGAGTTCAAGTACGTTCCCGAGCGCTGGCCCGAGAACTGGTACCGTCGTGACACCCAGTACGGCGCGGTTCAGGCCCTCTCCGACGGCTTCCTCCAGATCTACCCCCGCAACATCATCGTTCCTGGCGTTGCTCAGGTCGGTACTGGCAAGTTGACTGTCCAGACCCTGCTCTGCGATGTCTACCAAGGTCTCAACTCTATCACTCCGCTTGCGCTTGGCGGTACCGAGGAGAATGTCGCCAAGGGTGTCTCGTGGGCTCTTTCAGTCCTCGACCCCATCCTCGGCAAGACCGCGCTCGGATGCCCCGACAACGTCGTCTCACCCAACTTCGGACTGTTCCCTCATTCTCAACAGGAGGGTGGCCCTGTCAACCCCCCGAAGGTCCCGTCCGATGCTTGGACTGGCGACAACGTCTACAACAAGGTGTACTTTGGTGGAAAGAATGCTCCCACCAACCCCACGTGCAGCCACTCTAGTTAGATAGCTCTTGGTTGGAACGAGAAAAACTTGTAATAATTAGCGATATCCCAAATTTTGACGCCTCTCCTTTACAGAGCACACTAGACACTAATAAAACGATCTTCATACAGTTCGTTCTTGACCTGTTGCTTGTGAATGACCTTCGATTCGACTATACCATTACCACAGCAATTCGTTATACACTTCACTTTCTTTCCAGCAATTAGCACACGGGCTCTTCACCACAAAGCACTGAAGTAGTGCGATGATTCTCATTACTTCAGATCGCGACTATTGTCAACGCTTTGTACATTCCATTCATCGCTGGAATCCGGGTCGGTGAAATCGTAAGTTTTTATAAAGGCGTTGTGGGCTGGCCGAGATTGCCACCACAACTAGACATACAGGAAGTTGCAGCACCGGTCTACAAGTACACGTGTCTTCAACTCGCTCTACTATCATCATGGACAGTTTACAAGAAGCAGAACACGAGCTACCCACCCCCTTAACGTACCTTCACACTGTTCTCATCGCAGCGGAGGACACACATGAAGCTCGCAGTAATGTCGTTGCTACATACGACACCATGTTGCTATATGCACTTAGCTACCCGAGGAAACGAGAGCTGGCTCTGAACTCATGGACAACGAATCTAGGAGCGCTTGCTTCCACGCCCTCTGGAGATTTTGGGCAAGCGTGGCACGAGCTGATGGAGCGTCGTGAGGAGCTGATCGACTACATGGACAAATCGCAGATGGAAAGAGGGCAGAACGAAGTCTTCATGGGTGTACGCGTCGACGACCACACTCAGCTTTGGTTGAGGATGCTGCAATCGGGTTACAACAGGCAATTTGCCGATTTCGTGACCCAGTTGATGGACGAACAACCCCGTTTTGTCGACCGACCGAGCGACATTGACACTTTCATACAACAGCGATCGCATGTAGAGGACTTCCCACATTTGAACGACTTATTGTTGATCCCTGCACCAGCCACTGGACACGGCAAGACGGCAGAGATTGTCTTTAATCTCTTAGTCCACCACATCGCATACATATGCGACCTATTCCAGAAAACAAGTTATGCACCCAGTCCAGAGTTGGTGGAGGCCATTGCAGGGTATCGCATCGACCAGCTGTCGCGAATGTTTGCTGATCCAGGCAATCACACGCCGTTAGATGCGCGTGTACATTCCGCCGGCATAAACCACCGTACCATCCATGACTTCGTTGTTTTGCGAGCGAAGGAGATTCTCCAAAGTACAGAAAAAGAGCTTCTCAACTGGCACATGTACAAGTGGCTTCTGGGGTGCGTGGAAAGCGTGATTCAGGATGTACCTCGCACTAGGATTCTTTTCGATGATATTGGTCTTGGCGAGGTCGTAGGCGCGGACATCGTCGAACAGAGCAACTTCGTCCCCTATCTGACCGTGAGTCTGACTATCCCTGAAGGTATGATTCAGGAATGGCAAGAATACGAGCCTGCTTCATTCGAAGACGTAGAGTGGGAAGCGACCGGTCCTCTTATTCTAGCCAGCAACGTGGCTACGCCTGTCCAGCTTGGGACTGAAGCCATCTGTCCAGTCGATTTGGAGCCCTTTGACGTCCGCAACGCCGATACGATGGCTTGGGGGGTCGGATGCGGCCATGCGTTTCATGCGCAGTGCTTAGAAGATCTGATCAACGGTATCGAGAATAACAGCAATTGCTGTCCGCTGTGTCGAGCGGAGATCTGTGATGCGAGAGAGCGGCGTCGTATTGAGTAGACACTGGAGCCTACATCAAGATAAGAACATGCAAGTAGGTGGCCCAACGTCAACGTTGGCTTCAAGGCGTTTGGTCGCTGTCCTGTATGAGGTGGGCGGAGGAGAAGCTGGCTGGATCAGGCGGCAGAAATCCATGCGATAGCGCTAGCCCCGCCCCAGACTTCGCTACATAATGGTCGCGCGTTGTGCTACGAGGTCATCAGCAGCATTCATTACAGGGTAGATTTGTCAATTGAGGACGCGTAGAATGGAGATCTGGATTGATATCAATTGACATAGAAGGCAATGAGACTGTAGATAGCTGAACGCTGGATAAGTGATTCCTCGGGTAGACGCGGCATTGCCGAATCAAGACTAGTCTCAAGACCGCGCACGTGCGCACGCGTGACGCGTCATCCATGGGAACCTTGGAACATTCCATCTACACCTGCCGCCAGCATTGACGGTCCCGTGCGTGTCAGCTCTTCGAACCGGCCTACGCGTGATCCTACAAATTACACCACTCTGAAGCACAAATGTCGCATTATGCGTCTTCCAAGGCCCATCATGCGTCATCTCCACCGTAAACCTCCTCAGTATCTCCGGCACCAGCTTATACATCTCCGCATTCGAAAGCTACAGCACCATCATCAGTAAACGCGACAACCAATCAAACCCCAGTTAGCGGCACTCACATGCTTCCCAATGCAGGTTCAGGTACCAACCGATCTTTTCAAGCGGCTGCTGCGTAGGATATATGGTAGGAATAGCACTTGGGTCGCTGACGTGCACTTCGTCCGGTGCTGTGCGCACGATTGGGTCGTATTCTAACACGTTGGTCGCTATTAGCATGTTTTCTCAAGGGCACAGAACTTGACGTTGTTCCGATACCAGCGTCTCTTTGCAAAACATCCTTCAACTCGCAACGATGGGAACACTGACTGTGACATGTCAGCTCTCACCCATTGATCGAGAACAGGAAAATCGAACCTTTTATGCATCGCGCGCATATGCATCTCCAAATCACCCTGATACATGCGATACATAAGCCATGTGCGCGATATCGCGGACCAGATAGGACCTGGTACTTTCGCAAGCGGGTGAAGCGTTCGCGCATATGTGAGCCAGCCTATGCAGTAAAGAATGGGTATATAAACGGAGAGGACGACTAGGGAGTTCCAAAGGTCAAGATTTTGGAATAGCGCCATGGTTGAGGACGGTGGCCTTGGTGGGAAAAATGCAGAATACAATGAGCTCTGTGACTCGTTGGTTTAGTGTCAGCATCATGAGGGGTAGTTACACGGCTGGCCGTTCGCGTAATCGTTCTCAGGCCTGTAAGTCAATATGCAACCTATCACAAGCGATTAGTGCGTTAATGCAGTCAACCTTGAACGTGTAGGGTCGTTGAAGAACAAGTGGTCAGAGCTTTGGAGATGTTGCTCAGATTAGCCTTGAACGCTTGCTTTATAGCACTTGGCCGGCGATCGACAGTGAACAAGGAAAGATGTTGCGAGGTCTCGCAGTTGGTCGTATGCTGAGCCTGCACTCGTGAAACGGTATTAATTCCTGTAAATCGTGATCCAATGACTTTTCCATCATCCAAAGCTAGCATACCCCTCAGTCAAAGTCGCACCACCATTCGGTCTCTCCGGCTCCATGCCAGCGACTATCCCCCTCATTCGTACAAGCAATTCCGCAACCCTGAAAGGCTTCCCAACAACATCGTCCATTCCCGCAGCCATAGCTTGTTCAATCTGCTGTTGGCGCACATTGGCCGTGACCCCGATGATTGGCACTCGCGCCTTCAACAAGCCCTGTTGCTCAAGCTTCCGTATCTCGGCAACGGCCGTAAGTCCGTTCATGATGGGCATCTCCCAGTCCATGAGGATGAGACTGAGTTCGATGGGCAGTTCGCCATTATGAAGGGCCTCTCGCGCGATCGCGTCGCCAGTAGCTTGATCGTGTTTCCACAGACTGGTCTTTGGTAGAAAGTCAAGGGCTTCTTGGCCGTGATTGGCGACGCTCACAACACATCCCAAATTGCGCAGTTGTTTGGCGAGAACGCGCTGGTTGATGAGATTGTCCTCCACGACGAGAACATGCAGCGTATCTGGTATACTTTTTGTGCGCTTCAATTCTTGCAGATCGGGGCCTTCTGGCAGGCCTAGCGCTTCCGGCCGAACGTGAGAGTGTTCGGTCTGCGAGGATTTTGATTGCACCGACGGGCGGCGTGCTTTTGGACTGGCAGAGTCTGATCTTTGACCTTGCTCGCCTGTGGATATGCGTACGGGAGGAGACGGACGCGTTAGGCTCACGAGCGGTATCGGGCGTCTGTGCTTGATCTCTTCTGGGAAAACATGCGGAAGACTGCCTTTCCGGGCTACAATAGGTCTCGCCCGTCGTGATTTAATGTAGAAGGCAAACGTGCTGCCTCTTCCAGACTCACTCGCGACGCCGATTGATCCGCCTTGTAACTCGGTGAGACGTCTAGATATGAATAACCCAAGGCCAGAGCCACCGTAGTGTATGTGCGTCCGAGGTGAGGCTTGTGAAAAACGGGTGAAGAGATTGCATTTTTCTTCGTCGGAAAGTCCACGGCCCGTATCAGTGACGGCAAATTGAATGTAGAATAACTCTTGAGCTTTCTTCCAATCCTCTTCCAAGTGGGGGTCTTGTCCTACTAGCCTCTCCTCGTTATACTGTATTCCATGTAGCGTTGAGACGGGTTCAGCGCTGCTGGCGGCGAGAGTCACTGTTACACGCTTGGTAGACTCCAAGCGGGTGAACTTGATGGCATTAGTGAGGAGGTTGATGAGAATCTGCAGCACCCTTGTTGGATCCAGAGATGCCCAATCGATGTCCATGTTGCGATAGGATTGATCCACGTTCAACACGAGGTTGATACCTGCTGCTCTTGCTTCTGCGTCGAACATCTTCACTGCATGCATAACCACCTATTAGGTTATGAAGTTAGTCTGTGTAACATACGTATCATCAGATCAGAGGTCTTACACTCTCGGGTTGCGCAATGACCGGTGTCATATCCAAGAGACCCGAATCGAGTTTGGAGATGGTGAGAATATCGTCGACTATGTGCTTCATGTGCGATGCGCAAACTCCTATCGTCTGGGCAGCGTCAAGGGTAGATTCGATGAAAGCCGTCCACTCGTTTGGTGTGGTGTTTTGGCGCTCTTGGTAATCTTCTTGGGGATAGGAAGACGTGATCGAATCCGCACATTGCATGATGGCGCTGAGAGGGTTGCGCATTTCATGACTAGTCGTATCCAGAAAGTGTTCCAGGTGTTGCTTGCCTTGCAGTGCGCTGTCCATGCGTATCTTTTGAATGCCTTCAGCCCACTTTTGCTCTAATTTGGGCGCAGGAGGTCAGTGCATGTATCATGGGTCGTCGTACTTGAAGGTGCTTACTGGATATATCTGTAACATTCCCGACGACCTCAACAAGATCGCCATTCGGACCCAGCTCGGGGAAGGCTGAACACAAAATCCACTTAAAGTGCTGGGTATCCTCCGTCTGCGGCTCATCTGACTCTGACGGCGGCGTCCAGGGCATCCGCGTACGCAGCTCAAAGATAACAGATTCGTGATTCATGATTAGTTTTGCGAACATGGATTGGCAGTAAGGGATGTCCTCTTCGAACGCGATCTTAAACCATGCCTCGGTGGCGTTGTCATCAGCGGATGCGACCTCAAACATATCATGCCATCGTTGATTACGGTAAGTATAAGTTCCTATCGGATCGATGATAAAGATACCAACGTCGGATCGTTCCGCGAAGCGTTGAAACTTGCTTTCTTTGAGTTGTATTTCAGCCATTAGATGTTCTTGGATCTGAGCAGCCTGGATGATGGCGTTTTCTCTTTGCTGGACTTCGTCTTCGAAAAGAACAATGGACGCAAGAGACGTAGCTAGTAACCGCACCATGACCTGCAGGTATTGCTGGTACTCTTCATCGAAAGGTCGGCGCGGATTTATGCCGATTATGAGGAATCCTTCTACCTGGTTTCCAGTGGTGGGTATTATTGGACAGATGACTAGGGTTCGACAAGGGTCACCATATCCTTTCCAGTCGATGCCTTGTAAGGCTCTTGTCGAATCGGGAAGGTCCTCGACGTGAACAACGGTCGCTTTGCCGGACTTGGAGGCCCTATTCAAGAACGGCTGGAGGATATAAGAGTCTTCGTTGATGTTTATAGTCGCAGGGGCGATGGGATGGTCACCGGAAACGCCAATGGTACCCTTGAGAACGCAGCCTTCCAACGGAGGAATGCTACCGGGGGATGATACCGAGGGTATTTGAGCGCTAACATGCCGCTCGGCAGCATATAGCAAGGCAAATGGCACATCTTTATCGTTCAAGCTCAGTGAGCGCAATGTAGTCTCCCAAAATGACGGAAAGTCTCTGGCATTCGCGCTCTGGGTTCCCATTGCGACCAGACTAGAGACGCGGCGCTCGAGGATACGGTGGTTGGAAACTTCGTAGAAGGACTGGTAGTAGGCTGCCACTTGGCCGTCGGTGTTCAATATCGGGACGAATTGAAAAGACCAGTGCGTCTCTTCAAGGATCTTGTCTCTCTCAATGAAGAGGAGCATGTCAGGCTCGGCTATCGATTCGCCTGTTGATTTGATGTGGTCGACCAGAGGTTGAAACGAGACCCAGTGATCAGGCGCCTTGACACGGACACTTTCACCCATGCAAGGATGGAGGCTGCCAAGGAGTTGGACATATGGCTCGTTGTACAACATGATGACATCGTCGCCCCAGAACATGACGGCTGGCACATTGTTACTGAGTACCGTGTTCGCCACGCAACGCAGATCACTAGGCCATGAACTCATTGGACCCATGGGTGTATTTGCCCAATCTACACTGCGGAAGTACTCGATATGTGGGCTCGTAGAAGTGAGTACATCAGATGTACAGTCGAAGGACGTATGCGTGGCTGCACTTCGGTCTGCAGAAGGGCTGGTGCCGGGTTCGGGAGTTCGTGGTATATGGGCAAGCGATAGCTGGGGTTTGATAGGTAGCGCATCTGCGCGATGCTTGCTCTTAGGCGCCTTCCGCTCGCGTCGCAGGGAGCGGTGGCTCTTTCCTCCTGGGGCGGCGTCAACCCACAGCAGTCGCGTTGGCACTCCGCTAACAATCTTGTAGCGCCCCACAGTTATCGCATTCCATACGTGCCCTTCGAACGTGTATGCATTGCCGCGTTGTTGTAGGTCCTCCTCAATCCCATGCCCACGAATCCACTCCCGGAAGGCAAGTTGCGGTCCCGAGCTCTCCGCGAACAAGCTCGTCGAATCGTCGCCTGTTATCTTGACCAGCAGCCCGCCAACCATATGTAGCGCCGTGTTCGCATACACGAGTTCGATGGGGTAGACTTCATCATGGCCTAAGGACGAGCGTGTTTCGACGGCGAAAGTAGGGCGGTCGTCGCGGTCGAGGGCTTCGAGAAGCGAGAAGTCTGCTAGCTCTCGCTCTGCGGGCTTCAGCTTGGGTCGTGATGTATCGAATGGTGGTGGTGAGCCATAGCCGGTCGTCCCGTAGTAGTTGCGATGCGCGAGTAGTTGCCCGTTCGAGGCCATTTCATCCGGCGCAAAGGCGAGTGGCGGAAGTCGACAAAACACACGACCGCCGCATTGAACAGACGTTGGGATACTGCTTTGCGCAAAAGAGGATTACTTTTGCCTTCCGTTGCTATCTGGTGAGCTAGTGCAGCTATTGGTCTGGACGCTGCGTCTCTAGCTACGATGACTGAAGCGTCTCGGTCCGCTAGCTGGCGGCTGCACGCCCTCGCCGAGATCTTCAACATGGCGTCATCGGGGATTAGAGTTGTTGAAGCGCTCTGCACGTTGAGTAATCGTTTGGCATGTACTCGGCGAGAGTTTGACGGTCGTGTCACTATCAGTTCACGTCGCTCAGGATTTCGGCGTTGCTGCCCTGCGGCGATCCCAACCCTTGCTGCCGTACGATGGAGCTAATCCGCACGTAGACTAGAGCACAGTCACATGACGCCAAGCCGACCCCGCCGTGCTACCTGTGGACTCAACACTTCGCCTGCCTGGGCCTTCACTTGACGAAGTTGCAGCATCACTCTTGTCATGGAACACATAACTAATCCAGCTTGCCATTACCTATGATGCACAAAATACTTGTCAACACCAGCGTCTACATCCGATGTCCTACTAACGCGATGTCACAATCTCCACCTTCTGTCAGCTATGAAGCTTCATCTCGAACCTCGTTGTCCAGCACTGCGGTATAGTCGCGTGCCCCACATATACCTGTCCGACATGCCGGACATCTGATCTCAGGAACTCCAGGATACACCCCGTTCACCAACTCATCCAAGCACCCACGATGCAGTAGATGCGCACATGCCTTTAGCTGAACGCACACGTTGTCAACGTCCGCGTAATCTTCAAGGCAGATTGGGCAGCGCTCGGTCGCTATTGGCGTGCTCATCACATCGCACAACCTGTCGAGATCAATGCGCGGTCCGGTCGGCTCTATTGGGACGTCCACGGCAGGGCCATTGTCGAGATGGCGAAGGATGTAGGCTTCGAGCTCTACGGTAACCACGTCGCCCATACCTGCAGGGCGTGTCCAAGAACGTGTATGATCGGGTCGCATCCCCTTCGGTGCCCCCACCATGTGCAGCTTCAGCAGGTTTGCACGTATGGTGCCGTTCGGATCTGCTTTCAATCGATCGACCTCGGCCAAGGCATAATAGAGGAAGTTGATGTACACGGTTGCGTGGAAGAGCTCCGGGGCGACAATATCGTAGAGTTCACGCAGAGGGCATTGCGCAAGGAACTCGATGTTACCCCTGGTATTGACGGTCGCCAGGGCCTCACGCACAGGCTTGGGAATGTCTGAGAAGGGATTCTGCAGCGCCATCTTCGAGGACAGAAATAGCACCTCATAGCCTTCATGTATCACCCTCTTGACCGCTTGGGGGGGATATCGAGCACGAAGGCTGTGTCGATCATCGAAGTGGTGAACGTCGATGGTGTTCAGTAAGAGCCAGAGGAAGTGCTTGATGATGTGCTCGATATCTTCCGCTGCGTACCCATCCTGGATACGTATACCGTCCTCGAGAAACCGCGTTAGACCGGGCCACATCTTGGAGTGTCTTCTTTGGAATGCCTGGGACTGCTCTTCGAACGCGGTGCTATACCAGGTTGGTGATAATTCGTTGGGCCACCAAGTTGTCCATTCGTAGTACTTCCACAGCTCTGGGCCTAGTGAACCATCAACATCGGCTTCGGAATGCGTCGCGCAGCTCAAAAGAAACCAGAGGCGGGCGCTCGCGTCGTTACTTTTATCCTCAAGATCGTCTCCCGCATTGGGCAATTCACGTACGCACAGATCGAAGAATTCTTCAAACGGCATCTCAAGTAGCTGGCGCTTGGTTTCGGTAGAAGCAGTGCTGTAGTACACATTGTTAACAAAGCTTTGTTTTGTGTCGGCGCGGGCTTGAAGGTAGAATTCGCCGGTGTCGGTGAGTCGAGTATACGAGGCGCTATGTGCGGCCATACCCATAGGCTGCAGGATGTGCTTATAGACACCTGCGAAGTCTTTGACACGCGGTCTGAGCAGGGCTGTCAGCCAGGGTAGAGGTGCGGGATGCATGCCGTCGCGTGTAATTGGGGGTGGAGCATATGTCGTCATTATCGATCGTGGGACCGTCGAGTGATGATTCAGTGGAATTCGGGTAGAGTGTGTGGTAAGAGCGAGTTTAGTACCAAGGCCTCTGGGAGAAATGGAATGTAGTGGTACAGTTAAGCAAGAGCACTGTGTGAAGTACGACATGAGCCTTCAATGGTTGTGTAGTGAACAAACGGTCATTTCAGCTTTCAGTAGGGGAACTGCACCTTTCGTTGGTGAGCAAGAATTAATTGGCAAGATGCATTAAAATCGTTGCAACCATTGCTACGTGACGAACAATTCACTCATGTTACTCTGAATCGCACTACCAGACTTCTCGAACGCCTTTTCGCAACCCCAGTATCGCTGGATATGAACGATGTCAGAAGTCGAGCTAACCGCTAGTCATGTAATTATCGGGATGCCATGGTTTAGATCTCCGCTAGAAGAATATGGCTTTAAGTATTGTTGCAGTAGGGGAGAAAAATGATCGAATTTTCGTGTCGGGACAAAGAGGTAAAGGTGGTTCGTGTTGTTTGTCGATTAGTGTGGTGAGTAGAATGGGTGGTTTGCGCAACCTCAACCACTTCACCAAAGGGAAGAGATTAGTCCAGTTGAACAAGCACACCCTACTCTACCTACCCTCCACCTACTTCAGCGTCACTTTACTTCCAAATACCTTCGTGATGAGCAAAAGCAAAAAAACTCAAAATCCCCCAAAATGCTCAAACCTCAATTTCTGCCGCCACAACGACCAAGAAAAGGGCAAAAAAGATGTGTTGTGACCTAACCAGGGGTCGCTTTTTGAGGCGTCAGCGGCGTTCTTCGAACGAGAGACTCTTGCGAGTCGTGTGGAGTGAATACTTACAACCTGGAATCTCTTGATATCGAACTGAGTCGTAGTCAAGCGCCTTGCCATTGGGCCATTAGGCCAGTTGTACTGATTGATGGAAGTTTAGGAAATTGTAATGTACTAGTAATCTGCTGTGATGACAAAGCTGCCGGTCAATAATCGCAGGAATTATCTGCTTGCTGGGATGGGTGGTGGACGTGTAGCGTGAAAGAGTTTGCGCTTGTGGTGGGGTTTCGGAAGGCTTCGGCGGGGTGGGGCACGGCAAACTTCCCACCTTGCGAAAAGACGTGTTGGACCAGGAAGGGAACACGAAGTTGACGCGACAGAGAACAAACACATGCATGATCATTGTATTTACATTCGATGCATTGCATCTAATCTAGTGATTCGTACCCATGAGGCTGCTCACAGATAAACCCTTAAGCCCTCGCTGCGGGCTGTGTGAGTGTGCTTCCGCCATCGGGGTACAAGACCTGCTCGTTGAAGAAGACACCACCTGGACCAGCCAGGAGGAGTACAGTCGCAGCCATGTCAGTGTCAGCGCCAGGACGACCAGCAGGGTTGCTCATGCCGGACTCGATACGGCTCTTGTTGTCTTCGTCGGAAGTGCCAGTAGTCATCTCACTCGGGAAAACACCAGGCGCGATGGTGTTGACGCGGACCTTGGTGCCCGCAAACGTTGTAGCCAACATACGGCTCAAGTGTGTAGCAGCCGCCTTGCTCGACGCGTAAGAGAATTGGCCACTGCTGCTACCCTTCATGTATCCCGAGATACTGCTAACGTTGATGACTTGCGAGCTGTATCCGGGAGTGACCTTGCCACCTTTGGCCAACAGGGGCAGGAAGTACATTGACATCCAGAAGATGCTTCCAACGTTAGTCTTCATGGTGTCGGCCCAGTTCTCGGGCTGCGACTTGAGGAAGTGGTCGGAGATGGCTTGTGCATCTTCCATGTTTGGCTGGCCGTTTGCGGAGAACTTGGTGTTGTCGTCGCGAGCGATGCCGGCGTTGTTTACCAGGATTTGGATGCCTTTTGGCTCTTTTTGGCACATCTCTTCGTAGAGGCGCTTTACGTCGTCCTTCTCGCTGGGTAGTGTTAGTCCCAGGCAGTGTAAGTAATTTGAGACTGTTTGCCTACCTGACATCTGCCTGGATAGGAATAATCTTGCCTGGACCACCACCGCTGTACAGCTCCTCCGTCTTCTTCAGTACCTCGTCACGTCTTGACGTGATGTACACTTTCGCACCGTTTGCGACTAGCGCTTGTGTGATCATCAATCCAATACCAGTTCCTCCACCAGTAACGAGAGCGGTGACATGAGAAACATCAAAGAGCTTAGAGCCCTTGAGCTCATCGGTGCTAGCCTTGCTGCCACTCATATTTCTGACAATTTGGTATGTAGTTCTTGGGAGAAATTGATTCGTTCGTACTGTTGATGTGATGGATTTGGTAGCTGTAGGAAGGTTTCTTGAGAAGAGTCGGAGCATGTTGGGATATGCTTGTAGTGGTTGCGACCTTTATGTGGTTTAAAGGTGGAGGAACGATGTCACAGTTGGATGCGAACATGATGACGTTGAGACGACGCATGAGTGCTTGTAGAGGGGGTCCAATGCATTAGGCACTGGCGCGACGCGTCGATGCATGCTATGAGCGCTTGCAATCATCGAATTCTGCATTCCCCATAGTAGAAGCGCACGCCACCAACAAGTAGCATGCTTTAGCATCGGTTTATGCTGGTGAAGACGGCAATCACGGCTAGAAGCGAGTTGAAGACCGATGCCGCTAGACATGCAACAGTTAGACATGGGCCTGGATGCGCAAAGATGTATCGTAGATGCTTTTGATGCAGTGTAGTTCTGTTTACACAAGCACAGTGCTTCAAAGCTGGCTCAGTCGCATCGCCAGTGGTCATGAACGCTTCGGTTTGTCGCTTGTGATGGCTCCGCGGACGCAGTCATGCGACTTTTTTGGAGTATGGCCATACTTAGACAGCTAGTAACGAACATACGCCAAGACGATATTGGCATCGTGAGTACCATGAAGAGCTGACATCGCGTAAGGTGATGGTGTTGAGCTGGGTTCCGCTACTGGTGTGCACGAGCTATGACGCAATCGACCCTCCGAATCATCTCCGCACCATCTCCGGGCATCTGCTCACCCCTTAATGAACGCCGGCTTAGAAACCGCGCAATTGTTACAAACCACCACGCCAATCGACTGGCAAACGAGCGCGCGTTGTCGAATAGCTACGCCTAGTACGTAATCCGCACACTTTGTCAGCACGTCTGCGATCATTGGATGCTGAACATTAGTAACACAGCTTGGCCTCGGGAATAGAGCTATGGCATCATCGCCACAGAGATGCCGAATGAGGGGAAGCCCCGGCGGATGAAGGGCGACTTGACGTCGCAATGGTAGGAAGCATTTCTAATCGCATAGACGTATATAACAGCATCGAAGCTGTCCTTGATCATATCCCATATCCAAACAACTTACCATACAGCCACTGATCCAGCAACTACCATCACCACTCTCGATCTAGCCTTCGCAAACCTTCTATTATACAATTCCCAATTCGATTGCGAACAATCCTACCATATCTGTCACCAAAATGACGACCACCGCCTCTCTTCCCACACCCGCGCATCAACTCTCCAACCCTGCGCCTGCCATCAACAACACAACATCCTCCGACGTCAACTACCAAGGCCTGCCCATCCCTCGCGGCCCCGTCACAGCATCGCTGTCCTTCTATAAAGCCCCCGAAGACGGTTCACCACCACACAACTACGTCGAGCCGCTCCCAGGCGTGCCACAACGGAATTGGGGCGATGACTGGACCAAAGTCCAACTCAACGATCTACGAGGTCAGGAGCAGAACTTCACACTAGACAACAATGCGTTCGACACATACCAGAACGTTAAGAGCGGGCTAGACAGAGATGGCTTCGCAGACGACGATGCGGTAAAACGCGTATACTACCCCGAGGTGGAAGAGCTGCTCATGAAGAACGTACAAGGCGCGCAACGAGTCCTCCTCTTCGACCACACCATCCGCCGACCGACCGGCAACCGCAACCCCGTTCAACGCGTACACATCGATCAAACACCCTTTTCCGCCGCCGAACGAGTCAAATTTCACCTACCCGACGAAGCCGAACAACTGCTACAAGGACGGTACCGCATCATCAATGTCTGGCGGCCGCTCAATGGGCCTGTTATGGGTAGTCCGCTTGCGGTAGCCGATAGCCAGACTGTGCGCGACGGCGATTTGATACCTATTGAGCACCGCTATCCTGACCGCAATGGACAGACGGCGGCTGTGGCATACAACCCCGGGCAGAAGTGGTACTATTGGTCTGGCATGACCAATGAGGATCGTCTGCTGCTGAAGTGCTTTGATAGCGACGAGAACGTAGGTCAGTGGGGACGTGTACCGCATACGGCTTTTGTGGATCCAAGGACACCAGAGGGTGCCGTTGGTAGGGAGAGCATCGAAGTCAGGGCGCTCGTCTTTGGTTGAAAGCAGTCACATGTTATTGGTCCTTAATTTCTGCTATTGCATCCAGAAGCACTCATATTCGGCCGAGTATTTCTAGTCAATAATTAATATCCATACACCTTCAAGACATCGCAACCCCGGCCCGCATCCGGACAAAGAAAACACCTCACGTCGCCTTGTATTTGACTTGAAGCACATGCTCCTCAGGTAGCTGCTTGCTTAGGATATCTGTACTCATATTTTCTCCCTGGTATTTTGTCCAGGATCCGTTCCAACACGTTCTCGCCAAGCTCGTATGTGCGGCCTTCTTCGCACAAGCGCATCTCTTTCGACCAAAATGCCGGCCGCATTATGTCAAATGTGGACGTCTCGTCGCCTGGGCGCAATTTGAATTGCACATCGACTCGTCTTTTGCCTCGTTTTTCTTTTTTGCTGCACTTGCTCGCTAGCGGTAATTGCGTTAGTACTCTACGTTTTTGACGCTGCTCTCTTGGACCTCAGTGCTTACCTATGTCCAAGACAGCATCTCTGAGTTCGTCAATCTCGCACTGGTTGAGTCCCCTGAAATTACCGGGTACGGGCTCGTCGGGCAATGCGAAATTGAATATTTTCACGACGCTGAACTCATA